GCGTGTGTCTTCACACATTTATTAACCAGTGTTTTAAAAGTTCTTTTTGTGTGTTAAGTGTAACTTAAAATGTGGTTCAAAGAGCCAGCAAACAGAACTGTTTTTTTTGTTGTCTTCTGGTGTTGTTGAGTCCAGCTTTTTCTGGATGGAGTGTGTGAACTTCAGGGGGCAGTTTCCAGTTCACTTCCTGTGTTCTTTATCACAGCCTCAAATCAGATGAGTGTATTTATTTTTTAAAAACCAAGATATTATAATGGTCATCTGTAATTTATAAAATGTCAAAACTAATGACGCACTACCATTACAGGTTACCAGACCCTAAAGTAATGTCATTCAGTTGTTACATCTGTCAAAAAATCTAAATGTATTACATACAATGAATTTGCAATTTACAATGACAAAAGAAAAGCAGCAAAAGGTTTTTTTGAAAAGCCAAAACCAGAAAATATATGGATATTTTTACATGATAACAAATAATTAGATGACTATAAACACTGATGTGTTACATTCAGTGTTTTACTGGAAGAACTTTGAGCTACTGTACGCCAGGCTTTTCATCATCTGTGATGCAATACTGACACCTTGTGGCTGAACTTTGTGCCTGCAGCATGTTAACTTGCTTCAAGCTGACACCAAATACATCACACAACACTGACCCCGTTTCCTGCCGATAGCACTTGTTGGTGAGATTGTCCAGATTTATAAGGTGGGAGCGGTGTGCTATGTGAGCTCAAAAGCATTTATTGGAGGGAATTTCTAAAAGAGCAATCAGGAAAATCCTTAATTCATTATAAGAAATAAGTGAGACTGATATCAAAATACACTTAATTACTCACCATAACATACAACTTATTTCACATACGGGCAGCAAAACAATATGATATGAGTAGACACAAGGTAAAAAAAAATCTACCAGTGTACCAACTCAGAATGCCCTCACGCATTCCCACCACTAGAACTACTTAAATCAGTTCATGTAACGATCGTTCTCTCACCATTTCAGTGGCGTCCCTTCATACTCAAACCACATCTCCTCCACGTCCTCCGCCCTCATCACCTTGTGGAAGTGTTTCTTCACCTTGTCTGTAACCAGAGTCAGGTAGCTTACCCTGGGTAACAGCAGCTGGGAGAGAGGAAGAGAAGCTCTATTAATTATTACACAGAAGAGACTACTGACACTCATTAAAGGGCAAAGTGATTACATCCTTTCAGTCACAGTGGTAGAGAGCTGCAAGCCCCGGATTTGCCGTGGAAGTGGCTAGATGTGTTTATTGAAGATGAGTGAATTGAGGAGACTTTCTTCAGCTTGCTCCGTGTGGTCTTCACTATCAACCATCTCCACCACAATAAGACAAAACAGGCTGACCAAGTTTTTCAAGTCTCCACGTGGTAGGTTTGTAGCCTTGGACATGCATTTCACATTTCTGAGGTGCATATCAGCAACAGTGTGAACACCAGAGCTATGTGCTTTAATCTCTATGCCAATACCTTTGAATGCACTAAAATACACCACTCTCAAGAATCTTCTTTATACCGTAAATAATTTTAAAGCATGTTTTGAGATTTTAAGCTGAAAGGGGTATTTTGTGGGCCAGCATGCGTTTGGTGCAAAGCCTCTTTCTAATCCGGCCCCTAATTACTATGAGCTGCTACCTGACTCACATACGTAAAGTGTGCATAGCTAATAACATTGCTATTATATTTTCTAAGTAGGAATAATGTTTAACTGTAAACCCAGGGTACAGCAGTTTGTGTTTTTCTAAACATGAAGTCATCTGGTATGGTGGGTGGATAAGACACATGCCTTTTGTGTATTAGACAACTTGTTAAAGTTCAAACCGAGCATCAGAATGGGGAAGAAAGGGGATTTAAGTGGCTTTGAACGTGGCATGGTTGTTGGTACCAAACGGGCTGGTATTTCAGAAACTGCAGATCTGCAGCAACTGCGTGATGCTATCATGGACCAAAGTCTCTGAGGAATGTTTCTAACACCTTGTTGAAAGTATGCCATGAAGAATTAATGCAGTTCTGACAGCAAAAGGGGGTCCAACCAGTACTAGCAAGGTGTACCTAATAAAGTGGTCAGTGAGCGTATATAGTAAGTAGCTTTGGATAAAAGTGTCAGCTAAATGAGTAAATGTATGTCTCTGTATTCTTTCTTACAAACTGATGTCAAATACAGAGCTGTGGGCTGAAAGGAGGGCATATAGGAAGCATGGAGGTGAGTCTCTTAGTGTTTAGAGAGTAACTGCACTTACGTAGTAGGGCTCTGCCTCTCTCTCAGTAACCTCATCCTGGTTCAAAGTGAAGCAGGTGGGGATCCGGCCGAACCAAACGTCTCTCAACACGTCCTTGTCATCTGCCATGCTGCTGCTCCCAGAGGCACATAAAGAATGAATTCCCCAAACCTCCGAAATCTAATGGCAGACAGCTCCCTGCTGTCAACATCACAGAAGAGCAGACAAGCAAGCACTCATTAAACTTTTAGCAACACAACCCTCAAAATCACAATGAAGTAGGCAGTGCAAATAAGCTAGTACCACCTTGGCTAAAGTAATTCAGCTTTAGGTATGCGAGATATGTCTTTATTTGTTTGTAAAGGGAATAATTAATAAGTTATAGTCCAGTGGAAGACCTGCTAGACTTACCAAACTAACTCTAAGCCAGTCAGACTACGCAGATGTAATGCAGAAACTGACGTTAGCTTGGGTGCTAGGTAAGCTAACTTAGCTAGTGGAAACACACCAAAGTATTGTTTACAATAAACCAATGTGCTTGTTTCCTGGATACTGTTGTTGTTGTCCACACGCATATATTATTTGTGTGCAAAGAAGAGGCAATGATATGTGAGAAAACCTTACTTTTTGTCGATGTTTTGCAGTGTGCTTAAATGGAAGAAGGGCCGTGACTGCCTCTGTTGTCATTCCCCCGGCTGTCACCGGAAAACAGCTGAAAAAAAAAAACCTTTCACCGCAAAACCGCGACCCCTAGCGACAAGGCCCGTTACTGCAAATAGCGACAAGAAACATATTTAACCTAGCTATGTTTCGAAACTTTTTTAAATCTATGAATTTAAGGAACATTTTTTGTTCATTTACCTCATGTCTTACACAAAAAGTATGTTGGTTTAAAAAAATTAACTTATTTGTAAGCCTATGGCGAGCGCGTCATCACTATGCGACGCCGCTTGTCTGTTACGGGGCTGTTTGTGTTCTGTTGTGTCCATTAGTAGCTTCAAGAATGGATAAACAATCGGATACAGATAACTTGGAAATGCGTGTTCAGGCGCTGGAGAGTCATATATACGGCGAGAGAAGAAACAAAAGTGGAAAACCCGTCAAGGTTGGCCCAGAATAATGTCTGTCCTATAACTGTTGTGTTAGCCGAGCAAAGCTAACATTAGCTCTGTCAGTGGGAATGAGTGGACGCCACTCCCTTTTTATTTTATGCACGTTTATTTATTAGAAATTCTGACAACTGTTCACTACAGTGTAATACAATAACAGCTGTAGTGTATTTATCTCCTCGCTAAACAGCTGCTAGCTATTTAGATGGTTAGCTAGCTGTCAGTTAGAAGGCTTTAACTGTATTTTTTTTATGTTTTAGTCTATCCTTGACTTGAAGCAGAAGGACTTTGCTTGAATGTAATCAACAACGCAAAAGCCTCAAATGTATAAACGGCACTCAAACTGGATTAGTTAATACAAATTAGAAAAATGCTGTGTAGTACTGTTTCTGTAAGTAAGTTAGTCTTTCAAAAGAGTTTCAGACCTGTTTTATACTACATTGAATATTGTTGGATTATGGACTGCAATTTGAAGATGCCACTCTGTGGGAACTTGTAATGGACATTTTCATTACTTTTTAAAATTATAGATAGAAGGATTAAGTGAATAATTGGAGAGAAAACTATAATTAAAAAAATAATTAGGATGGATGTATGGCCAAGCAGGGAGAGGCCCTCAATAAAAGTAAAAGCAGAGCCTATCTCAAGCAAGTGTAAGTCCCTTAAGGTGTTTAATACTGCTGGTTTCCAGGACATTAAGAAAAGACATTTAGCAATCTTAAATTCTGGGATATGTTTTTAATATTAGTCAGATATATTCTTAAAAAAGTGTACATACTGGCTAAGAACATTGTAAGATCACTCAATGGGGCATCTCACCAGAGCATCACATGATGCGACGAACACAACACTTACAAAGCCAGCATTGAAGTGGATTTGTTTCTCGTTAGATGTTGTATTTGTAGGGGTGGAGAAAGTGCCTGTTCTTAAATGTCCTGCTCAAGAAGTGTTTTTAAGTTTGTTTACAGTATTGCATTGTATTAAAGTATTGAAACTCTAGGCAAATGGCCTTGTTTTGCCTGCATATTGGAAATTCTCATGTTCCTTCAAGGTTAATAAATCTCCAGTTTTCAAGGGCCTGACACAGAGCAAATCGGGGAAGCACACAAATTAAAAAGACTATTTCACTGCTACACTTGAACTTGAGATTTTGTGTTGTTGTACTGCATTGGGTATATTGCTACGTATTGCAAAACAAAAAGGCTCATACATTTTCATTCAATAAATTGTAATGACTTTCCCATACCCTTGTTGATCACGACCATTAAATCTAATCACTGTCCTTTGTCCTGCAGTGTGCTGAGTCTTTGGCCAGGATTCAGGCAGGTCTGACTAATACAGCCAACAAAAGAGAACGAGTAAAGATCCTGCATAAGAAGAGTGAGTCACACGCTGTGTCGTATCAGTTTTTTCTTGCATTTCCTTTATTTGATTGTCAGTGTAGAAATAGACAGGAAATATGGGAAGAGGGAGGTGTTTGATGTGCAACATTGGGCCCCTGGCCGGGAGTCGAACTGTGGACGTTGCGGTCTTAACAATTAGGCTGCTGAGGCCCCATGTTGAAAAAAATTACACATAGACAGTATGTCATTCAGGGTGCCACTGAACAGTGATCATATTGCTGGCATAAGATAACAAAAGTGCGGCAAAGTGCAGGTCTAAAGTTCTAAATATCCACACTGCTTGCACGAATGTTTCTGTAATCATATTTTAGACAGTTTGGTGAGTCTTTGATCATATTTATTGGTGTTGTGGTGCAGTTGAGGACCTGCTGAAGTACCTGGACCCCCAATTTACTGACCACATCACTGTACCTGATGCCATGAAGCTGGAGTTCATTCTCGCTGGTAAGAACCGGAGGGCACTGAAACATGAATCAAATAAAAAATGAGTAAGCAGTAAAATTTAAAAATCTATGAGTTTATTTAATTTAGGCTTTTATTGATTATTTATTGTATATTAATCAAAATAGTATTTATGCTTCTAATGTTTAATGCTATATATGTAACGATCTATATGGTATATTGTGTAATATGTAAGTTTGTTTGTCACAAACAAGAAATGTTGTATTAAAGAAGACTAAACAACCTGCATCTCATTCCGAACTCTCTGTGATGATGTTGTGTTTGTCTGCACAGAGGAGGACTTCCTGCTGGAGCAGGCTTCTATGCTGGAGCAGGTCAGCAACTTGCAGCCGCTGCTGGACAGCACTTACATCAGAGGTGAGTTTCACCAGGACCTCAAAACAATCCAGGACAAAGCAACATCTCCTCTGTGATTTTACCCCTGACAGCAAAGTAAAGACCAAAAAAGTAAAGAATTGATTTCGCCTTAATTTGTTTGGACCTTTTATACAGGTTGGCTCGGGTTTTTTTGTTGTTTTTTTTGTTGTTTTTATTTTAACTAAATCTATCAAATTATGTGTTGATCTGCTGGATTCTCAGGAGCACAGTATCTCAGGAACGCCTTGTGAGAATTTCTTCAAATTTGGCAAACTTCCACTTGGACTCCAGGATGAACTGATTAGAACTTGGTTTGTCTCATGGAGCCAGACCTCCATACTTTGTTGTGGCACCGGAGAAAGGTGTGGCTGAACCCACTGTCCTTCTGGTATAGGGGAACAACGCTCTGGCTTGTTTGTATTTTTAAACCAATCACAATTGTCTTGGGCGTCGCTAAGTGCAGGATGCAGCGACTGTGCCCTTGCAAAACAGTAACACACAGATTGCTGAAATGGAGGACACTTCTGACTGAAAAAGTCAGCCAATGGCAGGCTTATGCCCACATCCTGCTTCCTCTGGGTCAGACTAGAATAAGGAAGTTAAAAATCTTTCTTTCTTCAAATTCAGCACCAACGTCCACTTGGACACAAGGCTGAATTGGTCATAATTTGGTGGCCAAAAGTCAAGGTCACTGTGACCTCAAAAAACAACTTTGGCTACAACTCAAGAACTGTTTGGCCGACAAACTGTAAGTTTGGTGACACCTTTGACTCAAAGGTAATTGTGACCTCAAAATAGGTTTTTATCTTTAATGTAAGAATGAATTGTGCAATTCAAAATTTCAAACACAAGCCCATTCTGCCTTTCACTTAAGCAAACATAATCCAGTAAGTAAGTTAGTTTCACCTACAGCTCACATGTAAAAATGCCAGGAGAAACCATAAGCACTATATTTTGTGTAGTTATACACTATAAGAATCCATCTTTACATAGTAATCAAAACATGTTGACCTGTTTAGCCAAGCTATGCTAATCCTTCATTAATCAGTTCAACAATGTATATTCACTGGAATCATACATACGGATCATCAATATAGAATAACATCTATTTAGTCATGCACTTTATGCCTTTTTCTTCAATTCCTATAAACTATTCACTACATATATAACATGACTTTGTACAAACATGGATGTAAACCTCAACTTGACTTGTTGGCGGAGGCATACAACCAGTCAGTGGTAATTCTAGTTAGTTAGTGACTGCAGGTTATAGTCCCTGTTATACTTCTGGTGCATCTGGCAGTGTTCAACCAGGATTATGCTGTAAACATGGAAACAACATTTTGTCATGCCTTAGAGAGAAATTAATGTAGTGATGTAGTGTTTGTCCATGGTTTTGTACAGCTACTGGATCAATAGAGGGGAAACGTTTCAGTACTGTATGTTTACCTTCTCAGTTAGTTGTGTGTTTCTGTTCTCCACAGATGTACCAGAACACGCCACCAAGCTGCAGCGCCTGTCACAGATCCACATCAAAGAGCAGGTAATGCCCCTATTTCTCTCTCTCTCTCTCATTAGGTTTTATCTGTTAACTGTTTCATGTTTGTCTCTTTGACAGGACCAAACTGAGGCTCAGTCCCTGGAAGTGAAGAAGCTTTTTGAGGAATACAACAAAATGGTATATTAAGAATACATAAGTTCTTACAGAATCAATTTTTAATTTGTCCGGTAAACTTATAGACTGCTGATGTTTTTGATCAGCCACCGTGGCAAATCAGGGAGAAATTAAGGTTGCTTCTCAGTTTTTGTCTGGTTGTCTCACTGACATCTTAATTACATAAACTACTGCTGGGATGAAGCTCCACCCACTCACCTCTGACCTGTGATTGACAGATGTTCCTGCTGTCCAAGCAGTTCACCCAGTGGGACGAGACCCTGAGGAAGCTGGAGGAGGCCAAAGGCATTCGGCCAGTGGAGTAGCTTCTGTCAACATGCACATTTCTGAATAGGATGGTTATGAGGAGGAAGGTTGCATTGTGGTGGGGGCTTTGGAGCAGAGTGGTTCATGAACATAAGTGTGAGAAAGGATCACAACATTACACTGTTTTGTTGTAAACTGCTTATCAATTTGTCATCAGAATCCGGCGGCTTAACTTTGACACCCTACTTGCTTCATTCTACGTGAATTGTTTTGTTTTAGAAAAGTATCCAACCCAGGCAAATTATCACACTCTGTCTTATTCAGTCTGAAGGAAGCTGCTGTTATTTATTTTCAGACAATTATGCTTTTTATCTTGCATAGTTACTCAACTTTTAACACATCCCAGCAGTGCTTCTTTACTGCAAGCCTGTCACAGTTGTTTCCCTGTTCATCACTCATTCACTCTCTCT